CCTTCTCCTTCTCCTTCTCCTTCTCCTTCTCCTTCTCCCCCCCCTCCTTCTCCTCCTCCTCCGCCTCCGTCTCCGTCTCCGTCTCCGTCTCCGTCTCCTTCTTCTCAATAATAAATAGAGCAGAAAAAATCTGGAAGAGAAATTGCACGACTTGCCCATAGAGCCGCAGGGCGAGCAATGACAAATGCGTTGCAAGTCACAACAGAAACTTCACCCTCTCAGTACTTCCCTGAATGTCACTTGCTACGCAAATACAGAAGGGCAGAACTTGCATTATGACGTCAGAACCTGCCTTTCGTCATTTGGGCATCCATGGGTTAGGCAGAGCCACCCATGCTCTTGTCCAGGAGCGCTGAAGCCTGGAGGGAGCCGGCGGGTGAAAGATGTGCAGGAACCGAAAGGGCTCCAGATGTGTCGAACTGACACAGGCTTCAAAATGCTGCTTTTCAGCTCAGGGTTGGGGTTCCCTGGGCGTTTGGGGGCCTGCAAATTACGCATGGCACTGAGGTCTATCTCAGATGGAGGCAGAGAGACAGCATGGATAGGACGGTGGCCCTGGCCAGGAACAGGGCACGGGAGGAGGTCAGAATCGACCAGACGCAGTAGGGAGTTGCGATGCATGTAAGCCCCATCTCTCTTAAATACATGTGTGACACCGACACACTTACAAAGGGTGTGAGATTTGCATCACAACATTCCATTCATCCTCTTGCCAGCTTGACCACCTGCCTCTGCACACCCTCTGCCAAAGAAGCAGGAGGGTTGGGCACAGTGCCCACACATCTCTCTCCTTCCTCCTCACCCAGCTTGGTGGTCAAATTCAAATTCAAATGTCTTTATTACGGTCACAGACCAGAGTTACAAATAAAAGTACATTAAAGATGCGTTAAAGGCATTAAGAATACATTAAAATGAAACGAAACAAAACATGAAGACATATCTACAGGTTGGTGGGATCATCAGTGGGCAGTCCAAGTCTGCCTAATTTTACAAACAGTATAAAAAAATTAGCTACGTTCAGGGAAACTAAACCATTCTGATCAGATAGCAACAGCTGCACGTCAAAAAGATCAGCATTTCCTGGATATTTTACCAGATGAGGAGTTAATAAATGGGTCCGTGAGTCCTTATAGAAAATACAGTATAGCAGGACACGTGCTGTAGTTTCAATGGCTGCTGGTCCGCAGGGGCACCAGCTTGGTGGTCAGTTTCGTAAGAGAGGCAGCCAACGGGGGAACAGGCTGACCACCAGAATGCCAGGAACCTGCCCTTTCTGCCACAGTGGTCCTGGAGATTGCTCCCTCCCCCAAAGTTATGTGTGCAAGTGTGCGCATACCCTTGTCGTGTGAAGGAGGAGCAAAAAGATGGATAATAAGTACGTGGCCCTCATTTTCACGATGAAAATAATTAGCAAGTGGACTTTATTCCTGGAGGGTAGCGAAATTTGGCACTTTGATCACATTCCATTACTTGTGTGTATTCCTATTGCTGTGATCCTGCGTGCATGTGTGTGCACGTGTGCTCTAATGTGAGCGTGAAGATCCCACCCTTTGCTCTGATGCAGCAGGACTCTGCTGACTTCCTTAACGTTGCACTGAAGAACAAAAATATGGAGAAAAAGGTTGGGCAGCTCGTGTTGGTGTGTGTGATATTCCCGGCCCAGAGGTTAAACAGCATCTACTAAAGTTGATCATTTTTAAATCTGCAGGACCGAATAACTTGCCTGTAAGCGTTTTAAAAGACTTGGCTGAGGAGCTCTCTGCGCCCCTGAGACTGATTTTTAATAAATCTTGGAGTACTGAGGATGTTCCAGAGGAGTGGAAAACAGCTGAAGCCAGTGTGCCAGTGTTTAAAAAAAGTAAACGGAATGAGCTCGGTAAATATAAGTCCATCCCGGTTGGAAACAATCAATGGACGGAATGAAGAGTCAATCACCAGAGAATGATAGGATCTGAGGCTGATAATTAGGGCTGCCCATTGATTTAAAAAAATTACATTAATTTATAACATCAATTAATGATCAGTTGCTTGATTAAAGGCCAAATGTTGTGTATTGCTATAATCTCGGTAGCATAAATGCCTCCAACAGCGGGGCTTCATCCATACAGTGCAAATTTATAAAATAAGTCATTGTTCGAAGGAAAGACCATCATTCCATTTTTTTCATCCAATTCATTAAAACTGGCCTTGTTCCTTAATCAGTACATCAACTAATTTACCAATTAACACTCATAATACAAATCAAGACGCTTCAACGGGGAAAGTCCCTCTCTTTGGTCTTTGGCAAGCCCTCTTGATCTGCAAATACGTTTCTCAGAGAAAGCTCTAGGGGTGTCTGCTGGGAGGGGTCAAAAAAGTCAAGATGGCGCTACCAACCGTGCAGTCAAGGCCCCGCCCTTTTTTAGGCACATGGTGAAAAATGCATGTCACCCACACACGTGCCATCCTGACTTTTTTGTCCCCCTGCAGACCCCCCTGGAAAACTCTGTCAGGAGTAATGAGGAGAGATGAAATGATTCCGCCTCTCCCTTGACTTCCCGGCTGCCTAGGAATGCTGCGGTGGTTCCCGGCTTGGGGCTCTTTCTCTCTGATTCCTTTTCTAGCATTTGACAACCGCTGATCTCTTGACAGGTGCGATCTGTGCTCCCGGCAGGTTTGGAGCATCACGCGGCCTGCTTCTGAAGCTTTATTTTTGTTTCCCTGCTGATGTATTGATGTGCGGTTGATGCGGAAGTCAACTTGGGCACCTCCCCAGGCAGGATGCAAATTGCTCCAAACGAATACACACCATCGTAATTTGCAGCAGCCACCAGGCACCGGGGCTGGGAGGGAGGAGCCGGTTTGCATCAGAGCTCAGAAGAGAGGTCAGCTCTTCGGCGGTTGCTTTTTCAGGAACAGGACAAGACAGCAGAGGCGGCGAGCTTTCCCTCCCATGTTTTCTACACCGTAAATGCCCCCATTCAGGGGGGCCACAGGAAGGGGGTCAAAAAAGTCAAGATGTTGGCCACCACCGTGCAATTGTGATGAGGAAAAAGGGGGTGGGGCTTCGATTGCATGGTAGTGGCCAACATTTTGACTTTTTTGGTCCTTTCTCTGTGGATACCCCTACCTCCATCTTTCTAGCTTTTGGGGGATCTTAAAGAAAGAGAGTCCTTGGTTCAGAGAAGATTAGTAAAAGTCGTTTCGAAAGCTAAAGCCGCCCCTGGCCATCCCCGAGAACTGCTTTGGCTGCTTCTGGGTTGCTCCTGATGGTTTCGCAGCCGGTCAGATTCCTGCAGTCCAACTTCTGATTGCCCGTTCCAGTCAGTGGCGAACGGTTGGCACAATTGTTCTGTTGTGCTTGGCCACCCTGGAGCTGAGGGATGGTGGCTGATTCCAACGGGCAAGCCCTGCTGGCGAGCGTATGTCAAAAGTACAGCAGGACCTTCCCTGTCTTTAGGAGACGGGATTGAAGCCCGAGGCTCCTCGCAACCGCAAGAGGATGCATGGAAGGCCCGCTCTGGGCTCAGGATGGTCAGCTGTGCTGCTCTTGCACCGGCTGATGGCTGTCATTTATTTTCAGCTTTCCTTAGTCCCATTTCTTCTCTGAAAACTGCAGGCAGATTATGGCACGCAAACCTCTAAACGGCAGCTGGCTTCAGCCCCCGCCCCTCTAAGACTGACCAGGGGAGTGTCCAGCAGCCCCCACTGTAGCTAGTTGCAGGGCTTGGCCCAGGACCAGACCTGGACAAGCCCACACCTGCCTGGTTCCCTGGAGCAGCCCTTCATGGTGGGTAAGGCTCTTAAGGCCCCTTGTCGCCCTGGCTGGCCTCCCCACACCTGTTGCTCTGGGAACGGCCCTGTGTGCAAGTACGTCACACTTGTGTCCGCTTAATTGATAAGAACTTTGGAAGACGTCTCCAAATATATTTATTTTTACTTTGATGCTGTCTAATATACAGCGTTGGTGCAAATAGTTCCCCTTGTTGTAATGCACTAAATGCATTATTAATTTATGCAGACATTTCTGTAACACTGTACACATTTTTCCAAATCTCAAAATGTGAGAATAGAAAAGTTTGATTTCAAATTTGAATCACATGAATTTCTCCCCTACTCCCTAGGGTGGGGCAAGATAGCAGAGGTTTGGGTTCTGAATCCTTCAGTCATAAGGATTGCTTAATCTTGACCATAAAGCTCATTTCCAAGTTAATTTGGGGCCTTTTGCCCATCACACACACACACCCACACACACACACAGAAACACACAGGCCTAACTTTATAGCCAGACAATAACATCTCCTTAAAATAGCTCCAATGCAAAGATTGGATCTTTGCATCTGGCAGTTTAAAGTTGATAGCCCCTGACCTGATGGACATCGGCCACTTTCTCCAGTAATTCTTAGATCTGACTGAGAAGCAGAAGCAGCCGGGCTGATGACCTGAATATTTAGGGGAGATTTTTGTCAGGCCTAGTTGCACATTTCCAAAGAATTTTCATCAAACGAGGATTCAAGAGCCAGAAAAAAAATAAGTGGGTGTTGGTGGTGGCTGGGGCAAACTGTGGCTAATGGTAAACTCATGGCTGTACCAGTCACACAGTTCCTGGCTGCAGTCAACACCTTAAACCAGTGTTTCTCAACCTCAGTAACTTTAACCCTAACCCTAACCCTAACCCTTGAAGTCCATACATCTTAAAGTTACTGAGGTTGAGAAACACTCCCTTAAATGTGGGTTAACATGGCTGTATTCACATAAGCTGCTAAACCCAAAGAAATAAAGCATGATACAGCTTTCCCACAACATGCCAAGGCCATGGCTGGCTTTCCCCCAACGTTCGGAAGCAGAAATCTCCCACCCCACAACTAGCTTGATCTAAAATGTGTGAAGCTAGCCAGTGAGAAGTGGTCTTCTAGGCAGGCAAGCTGGCCCAAAGGGCGTAACTGCCCCATGGCTTGCTGGGCAGAAGACCCCCCTGCTGCCCCCATTGTGGGAATGATCCAACCCAGCGGATCCCATCTTTTCTGAGGTGCACAGGTCCTTGAGAAGTTCTGCAGCGACAGATGGCCCATCAGCCTGGCCCAACTTGACCCAGACTCCGTTCTCATCCGGTCTGTCTCAGAGCGTTCTAGATTTCTTTAAGAAGAAGAACGCCACATCTGTTGCATCTGGGAAGAGATGTCTGGCAGTGTGAGGCTAATGGATTCACAACAGGAGACCGTGGAAACGAGCATCTGGATGGAAATAGGCTTGGAAAGGAATGGGGAGCAATTTAAAGAGGCTGCAGAGAATAAACGGAAGTGAATGATGGTGATGCCGGGGAGATGAGCTCATCTTTGACTGCTAGATCTCTTGCCTTATCCGCTGCTGTTCGGGTTTTCCTATACAACCTTAAGGGCTAGTAACTTAAAAAACGTTAAAAATTCTCAGTGTTCCACAGAAAGCTAGAGCTGACTTGCTGTATTGCTTTTTTCTCCTTTTTTCTTCTTTTTTTTAAGCTCTTCAGTTTTTCAGCCTTGCTATCACCCTGGGAATTCCTGGCGGTGCCACCCAACTAGTAACCGGTCTTTTGACATTAGGCGACGTCACCAAGAGGCTGCCATGACAGCAGCCTGAGTGTATCTCTGATCTTATGGCATGCGTGACCAAACGGTAGAAATGTTTTGATACTGACAGCAAGCTACTGAGTGCGTGTGTCGGTGCGTGTTGGGATCGCTGCTGATTTTTGCCCACTTTGCACGGTTTCCAAATAGCCTGCTGAGGGCAGCGGGAACTGTTCTGGAGGGGCCCCTGAACCGAGGGCCCCCGGGATGCTCACCGGTTCCGCATCATTCAGGGCTCTGTTTGCTCCTGCAGTGGAGGTGAAAATCGAGGTGGTGCTGCCGGAGAAAGAGCGCGTCAAAGAGGAGACGTCGCCCAACGGGAAGGCCAGCCCCATCATTTACAAGGCCAACGGCACCTCGCGGCACTACCAGCTGGAGGAGCACCCGGTCGCCATCAACCCGTACCGGAACGTGAAGGACGTGGTGGAGGCCTCTGTCTGCCACGTGAAGGACCTGGACAACGGACAGTCAGTGGGCCCACGGCTTTTTCCTGAGATTTTAAGACCCGAACCGAAATGAAGGGGAGGGACATAGAACAGATGGGAAGTCCCTTTGGCCAGGAGACCCCGCACGCCTCCCCCAAAAGAGGGCTTTGCTCTCCAAGAAGGGGGTCTAATCTATGTCAAGAGGGGAGAGAGGCGCCCAGAACTCGTAGCTTCCCCCCAGGGATGGGAGAGCCGTGCACGGCCATTGTTCCATCTTTTTCTGGGAACACACACATGGACATTCTCCCCTCGTTTTATCCTCACAACAGCTCTGTCAGGTAGGTTTTGCTGGAGACGGTGTGAAGCCCTGGAAGTGAGCTCCGAGGCTGTGTCAGGAATCAAACCGAGAGCCCCTTCCTCCTGGCCCCCACTGCCCCTACCGCTCAGCGATGGTGCTCTGGCATCCCGTTACCAGAGGGACCGCGTCCTGAGTTTGGGCATTTTTAACGCGCTTCATTTTTTAGTACTTCTAAGAGGTGGGCCAGGTTAATCCGATGCATGACCTGAAATATGCTGCAAATTTGCAGGGGGCTGGCAAAGTATGACCCTTTGGGAGACATACAGAAAACACCCCCCCTCCAGGATTAAGGGGCTGCATGTAGGTCCTGATTTCTCTGTTGCTTGCAAGAGAGCCAGAAGACCCTCTGGTTATTTCTGGCCAGCAAACTTGGCTAGCGTCATTCCAGGCACTAACTCTCGCCTCCGTTTTGGAAACCTGGTTGGCCGAAAGAGCTGCGGCGTCTGCTCTTCTGGGCCACATCTGTCCCAGAGCAGAAGATCTGGTTTCCTTGGCCTGCAGGACCTCTGTGTTGCTGATCCTGCCCAGCAAGGCTGGTTTGCTGAGAGCTGCTCTGGCTGGTTCTGGCCTCGTGCTTAAGCCCCCTCTCTTCCACGTGCATCCCATAAATGGTCTGTTCTGGTTCTGCCAGGCTTCTTGCACACTCAGGTCTGCGTGGAAAAGACGTGGAAACGCTCGGTAACCCTTGTTCTTGTTCTCCCTAGGATGCGAGAAGTCGATTTGGGCTGCGGGAAGGCTCTGCTGGTGAAAGAAAATGGAGACTTTTATGCTGTGGGTCATAAATGTCCTCACTATGGTGCCCCGCTGGTGAAAGGTGTGTTTTGTCCCCTCCAGAGCATGAGTCTGGGTTACTTAGAGCAGTGTTCCTCAACCTTGGCCACTGACTTAGAGGATCTCTCTGCAGACCCGACCTGAAAAAATCTGAGAATTGTTTGCCCAGGGAAGAAGCGAACTTACAGCCTGCAGGGCTATGAAGCTACGCTTGAAAATAGCCCAGCTCTTAATGGCGGTTTACACTGACACTAGAATATCCTGGCCACCCTAAGGCTTCCCTTGGCCCCATCTTGGTTTTGTCTCCTTCTCGCTCACTCCAAGTTTTAACTCTTCCCTTCGTGTACTGCAAAATGGCCGGGTTTTCCTCATTAATCCGCCTCAGAGGCATGGTGCGTAAGTTTTATTCCGCTCTCTCCCCCTTCCAGACGGGTGTGCTCATGTGCCCAGTCTAGACTTGAATTGGTCATCGGTGGATTCCTGGTGAAATGTCTAGAAGGGCCTTGAAAAATTATCTCCCCTACATGAGGATTGTACATTTTATAACCAGCATATTACTATCCCAGTACATTAATTGAGGGTTACATTATGCTCAATGTGCAGACAAGGTGAGATGGAGGTGGGGACAGAATTAGAAAATAATTCAAAACAAAGAAAAAGTGAACTGAATTCGTGCAATTTATAGATGGCATTCAGGGCTGAATACATCACTGCCGTTCCCCAAATTGTTTCTTTCATGGTGCAGAATAGAGGAGGGATCACCTCGTGTCCTACTTTCTGTTTCTATTCTGCTGCCTTTATATAGTAAAAAGGTTCAAGGAGGAATATCTAAGGGACTGCCCACAGCAATTTTCCAGAGTCTGGCTTCTGGTGGCTCTGGAAAGTTAGGTTCAGTAATGCAGATTCTTGCCAGTTGTTGTTATCTCTCTCTCTGTTTTCCTTTTGCCTTCTTTTTGCCAGTCCGCTTTTTGGATGTTTGCTGATTTTTAATAAATCACATAGCACCTCTTGGCGACTCCTTAAATCAAGCAGGTCTTATTCCAGGATGGAACAGCCGTAGAGGACCCTCAGCTGTGGGAAAAGGAAGCAGCTGCTTTAAAGAGTTGCAGAGAGATGCTCCATACACTGATTGCACATACACAAACAGAGCCTTAAAAAAGCGAGGCAAACTGAGAGGGGCGTCCACAGGGTGGTCAGAAAAGTCCTGATGGCAGCTTTGTGCGTTTTTCAAGATGCACATGAACAATAAGAGCTTCTGTCCCACTGTCGTGGCCACCATCTTGACTTTTTGGACTAAATCCTGCAGACATTACGCTAAATTACTGGCACAGAGTATAGATTGCTGTTAATTGAGTTTATTTATTTTTTCTAGAGCAGAATAACACAGTTAAAATGACAGCGTCCAATGCAATAGGACATTCCAGTCTGTCGAGGCATGAAACAGGATTGTATTTGAGCTCCCTTGTGGTTCACTATTTATGTGAACTCAGTGCTAGCTTCTCTCACCAAAAAGAAATTCCACCCTCATAAACGTTGCGGGAGGCCTTTGGCAGGGTGGCTGTGTGCCAACGAAGCAGCCATTCTTTTGTTCCTCCGGGGGGGCCTTAGAGAAGTCTGTGGGTTTAGTGGAATATGCTCAAGAGGAAGGGCTTGCGGTCAGCCACTCCAAAAACGAAGTAACCGTTTTCTTGGAAAGACCCAGTTGCCTTAAGCAACAATGGCAACATCGAAATATTAAAATTGAACACATTCCAGCTTTTAAATACCTTGGTGTAGTTTTTCAAGCTTCCAGAACTTGGAGGGAGCGAAAGCTCCGTCTGTGCCGAAGCGAGCGATGGGGCCAAGGCAATTCTGGCCCTTTACCATATGAAAGGGGATCGATGCTTACCTGCCACCATCAGGTTTTTTAAAATTAAAACTGTCTCTCAAATGTTACACGGTGCTCAGATAAGGGTCTGGATGCGATTGAAAGACCTTAGACATTGTTCAATCCAGGTTTATACAAGCACTCTTCCGAGTCCTGTTCTGCCTCTCAAATGCCTTAGTCTGCACAGAAGCTGGAATGACGCCTTTGCAGACCACAGCTGTGTTTGCTAACTCTCTTAGGGGCTTTTGCTCTCCAATGGTTCTCTAGCATCCCGGTTGATCTGCAGAGCCAAAATCTTAGCCCACTTTTGCTCTTGCAGCCTCTCTCTTTCTCCACTGCCCCTACATTTAGAGCAGCGTTTCTCAAATTTGGCAACTTTAAGACGTGTGGACTTCAATTCCCAGAATTCCCCAGGAGTCCATGCATGTTGGCTGGGGAATTCTGGGAGTTGAAGTCCATGCATCTTCAAGTTGCTAAGGTTGAGAAACACTGCTGTAGACTAACACAGCTTTCCTCCTGCAATGTTTAATTCACTGGCAAATCTTACTTTCTGTTCAGCTACCTGTTTTTGTTTCAAAGCAGTGAAAGTCTAAGGTTTGCTGAGATGGAGACTAATTTTGCTGTTGCTTTCTTGGGGTCCCCCTGCAGGGGTCTTGTCCAAAGGCCGGGTCCGTTGCCCGTGGCACGGGGCTTGCTTTAACATCGGCACCGGCGATATCGAAGACTTTCCAGGGCTGGACAGTCTCCCCAAGTTCCAGGTGAGAGGTCTGCAGTTTAAAAGCCAAGCCAGCGACTGGTCATTTGAGAACAAAGCAGTGTGTTGCTGGGAATCTGCAGCAATCCGCTGAATTTGCAGGGCTTCAGAGAAATTGCCTCCTTAAGTGTATTGATTTGAGTTCCTGGCAAACATCCCAGCAAGTCACTCCTTTTAATCTCTAGAGCAATGTTTCTCAACCTGGGCAACTTGAAGATGTGTGGACTTCAACTCCCAGAATTCCTCGTTGAAGTCCACACATCTTCAAGTCACCAAGGTTGAGGAACTCTGCTCTAGACCATGAATAGTTTACAGACTTGGACTCCTTTGATTGGGGGCTATCAAGGACCTTTGACTGGGTTCCCCTTACACACCTGACCAGGTCAACTACATCTACAGGCGAAGACAGGATGGGACAAGAAGGAGACCGTTTGGACCCCAAACAATATCAGAGGAGCCCAACTCGGCCCTGTCAGTCCTCCAAGTCAATGAGAGGAGTTACAGAGGGGCTGAGAGGAGAAGGCACTCTACACAAAACACACTTCCCCACCCTAACTGGCTGCAGTGCCCAAGCCACACCACACACACACATACACACACACACACTGCCTCCTTGTCAGAGGCCATGGACATAACAAAGCCTTACCCAAAGGCGCCTAAGGAGCTCTGACCAGGATAGCAGCTGATGGGGTCCCACAAATGCCTTACTCCAAGTGGAACTCTTCTGGTTTCCTTCCAAGGTTTCTGGATGTTGCCAGAGGGAGCAGTGCTGGGGGCCAGTTCATATTCTCATTTCTCTGGCCTTACTCGTACAATCCTAGGGTTGGAGGGGATGTTAGGGGTCATGCAGCCCACCCCCACAACTCAGCGCAGGATCCAGGGAGCAGCTTTGACAGATGACCATCCAGCCTCTGGTGGAAGGTTTCCAATGCAGGAGAAGCCACCATGGATCCTCCGCCCTCAGGCATATCCCTGCTTGGTCAAGATGGGCATTCTTCTCTAGGCCTCCTTCATAATTTTTCTCCGATAAGACAACTTGCTTTTTATTTGGCGGGGCGGGTTGTTTAGGTTTATAATGATTAAATGCTTATTTTAATGAGGGGAGAAGTTGCATGAGGAAACATGAAGACATTCTTTCTAATCCTAGGTGAAAATTGAGAAGGAGAAAGTGTACATTCGAGCAAGCAAGCAGGTGAGCTGTAGGGTCCATTCCCCCCCCCCTCACAGTGCCAAATGCCCCAGCACAGCCCCCAGGGCATTTATTCTTCAGTGGGGCTGGCAGGAACAGAAGGCTGGTGGTTCTGGTCGGGTCTGCCGAGGGGCACACGCATGCGCTGGCCACTTGTAGTGGGGCACTGTAGGAGCAAGCTGTGTTTGTCTTGGGGCACCTTTTCAGATTAACATCTTTGGTTAAAAGGCGTGAGCTTTTGTGAGCCGCAGCGCCGTTCATCAGATGCGCTCCGTTGCACCTGAAGTGGGCTGTAGCTCATGACAGCTACAGATGCCTTTTAGGGACGTTGGTGAGATGGAACGGGTGCCAGCAGACTCCTTTCGGCGGATAGTGGAACCCGGAGCGAGGTTCACACAGTTTGCCAACCTTAAGCCAGGCTTAACAAATCACAACTGCTGTGTTCACCTTGGACTGCAGTCAGTTCAGTTCGCTAGTTTGCTGTGTCCAACGCCACCATGGGATGGCCTGCAAAAGGAGAGTTCCCTTCTGCCCAGCATTTCCTAGACAAACCCGACATTCAGGCCCTGAACACACTGTTCAGCCAGAATCTAAAAGGAGCAAAGGTGCCTGGGGATGGTGGTTTGTCCTTAAAGAGGCGGAAGAAAAGCCATGCCCCCTCTTCCCCTTCTGCATTCGCCCCCTCTCCGAGTCTCTTGCCAAGCGCTCCCTCTTCTCTCCTGCTCGTGGCCTCCTTTCCACGCGCATCCCTGCACTTTCTGCTTTTTTGCACCGCCCTCCTCGGCCCCTCCCTCTCCCCGCCACAGCCTGCTCCCAGCTGCTTTCCTTTTTCTCACCCACCTGCTTCCTGCCTGGGTCCCTCCACAGAAGCAGCTGTGATGGCATCCTGATATCCCCCAAGCCTTCTGACCTCCTAAGGGCCCCTAGAGGTATCTTTGCCAGGGACCCCGCATTGTTTAGGGTGCTGCACTGATTAATCTGCGTGCTGTTTCTACCTGTCCTGCCTGAACTGGCAGGAAGGGCACGGTCTGGGTACTGTTGGCTGGAGAGTGCTGGCTGGGGGGGCCCAGAAGGAGAGCCTTTTCCGTCGTGGCACCCACCCTTTGGAACATCTTCCCCTCTGAGATGAGATTGGCCCCGTCCCTGTTGGCCTTTTGTAAGGCCTTGAAAACTCAGAGCCCGTCTCCTGGCTGTGTGGATGACTGGTTAGATAATGCCCGGCTGATATGTGTTTTATTTTTATTTTCTACTTTTTCTGTTGTGTATTTTATGTCTTTTATTTATTTTATTGTAAGCCACCTAGAGTCACATAAAAAGAAGATGGGTGGCTGTATAAATCAGATAGATAAATACATGCGTGTGCGTAGCAGCCTTTCCCAGCCTGGGGGCCTTCAACTCCCAGAATCCCAAGAGAGGTGGACTTCAGCTCCCAGATTCCCCCCACTAGCATGAGAATTCTGGGTGTTGAAGTCCACCTCTCTGGACGGCACCCTGGCTGGAGGAGTGGGGATCAGGCTGTTGCACGTTTCAGTTTGGGACTGACGGTAGCCTCTTCTCGGCCCCCAGGCCCTTCAGGCTCAGAAGCGGACTAAGGTGATGGCGAAATGCATCTCGCTGAGCAACTACAGCATCAGCAGCACCAATGTGCTCATCATTGGGGCAGGTATGCCTGAGGGACAGGAGGCGCCCAAGGGTGGAGCTCTCGGCCGGGGGGTAGGAAGGGTGTCCCCTGGGGGCTCCTCTGCATGGCTCAGGGAGCAGAGATGTTCCCTCCATCCCTTCAGATGCCCAAACCGAATCCGGTTTTACCCAGATTTTCAGACAATTGTGGAAGAATCGGTGCCTCTGCGATTGGATGCTCTGGTGGCGAGCATCCAATCGCAGAGGCACCGATTCAGTGATGCAGACAGACTTTCTAATTTATTCTGAAAAATCCATTCAGTCGGGGATTCCGCTGAACTGCTTTTGGATTAAATCTCCAGACTGAATAGTTGCCCAGCCCAATTCCAGCTGGAGTTGTGCCTTTCCCATTTCCTGGGAGCCTAATGATTTGTTCTGGGCGGAGGGTGGAGATGACTTAATAGGGAATTCCCAGCCCGAAAAGGAAGGTTGCTTCCTCAGACAGTCTTGTCCTCTGGCAGGTCCTGCTGGGCTGGTGTGTGCAGAGACGCTGCGCCAAGAGGGCTTCTCGGACAGGATTGTGATGTGCACAATTGATCGACATTTGCCCTATGACAGGCCCAAGCTGAGCAAGGTCAGTACTATACCATGAATTTCTCCCAGGCTTTCCTGAGAGCAACGTGTAGCTGCTGTATCCACCAGCCTTTGGCAACCGCTGAGAGTTGACCCCCCATGGTGCTCCTTTTAAACGAAACAGAATTCCTTTTCATGCAGTTCATGGATGTCCATGTAACCTGTTAATCATGGATTTAAGGGCAGAGTTGGGGTCCTCTGCTAAACCTCTGCTCATTCTTCTAAAAATGACCCAAGTTAACATGGAAGCTACCCCCATCTCTAGTGCTCCTGGCTCAGGTCAAGCAGCCCAAATGGTGCTCCTTCCAGAGCTGAGCTCAGACACTGGTCTGTCCCTCTGCAAGGCTCTCTTGGAAGCCACCCAGGTGGCCTTCAAGCAGTCTTCCTGTAATCGTCTGTGGGAATGACCTTGGGAGACAGGAGGAAGAGTCACAGACTAGGCAACAGTCAGATAAGAGACCGCAGAACCTGCAAAAGGAATGGGGGTGTAGCAAAGTCTCAGAAGGGACCCTCCCTAATTTCTTACACTATAAAGGTGAGGGGGGAGAGATGCACTTTCACACTTGTAAGATTCTGTTAATGTAACCTTACAATAAAGTTAGAGCTAGCACTTCTGGTTGTGCTTCTTGT